GCGAAAGCGCAACCTGGCAAAACAACAGTCAGACCGACAGTGCGTCAGAGCACACGAGCAGGCGGCAACAACACTTCAGTTCGATTCGAACAAACGAACAAACGCGCAGGCGAGCAGAACATTCGAGCAGGCGAGCAGAACAAACCAGCAGGCGATTCGAGCAAACGAGCAGGCGAGCGACGGCGGCAATAGCATTACCCCGTGCCGCGGGCCCCCTTTCATTCACGACTCTCAGCAGTGATGGTGATGGTGGGTTTCTGGGGCTCGTTCCTGGGTCGCGAGCTGTTGTTTGTGCTCGTGGCTGGTTGTGGGTCGGCGGTCCTCCTCCTTTTCCTCCTCATCCTCCTTCTGCTCCTCCTCCTCCTCCTCCTCCTCCTCCTCCTCCCCCTCCTCCTCCTCCTCTTTTTTCCCCTCTTCGTCGTCGCCGTCCCCTTCCTCTTCCAGCCCCTCCTCCCCCTCCCGTTCCTCCCCCGGTTCTCCGATTGTTCTTCCTTCAGCCCCTCCACCTCCTGTTCCTCCTGATCATTATACTCCCCCTCCTCCCTCCCTCCTCCTCGATACTCGTTCCTCTTCCCCCCTTTTGTTCCCGCTCCTCCTCCTCCCCTCCCCTCCTCCTCCTCGATCCTCTTTCCTCTTTCTTCTTCGTCCATTTCCTCCTCCCAACCTTTTTTTTTTGTCCGTCCCCATTGCTTCTTCCTCCTCTTCTTCGCGATGGGTCCATCGTGCGCAACACTTTCCAGTGATTCTGAAGCGGAGGTTTTCCAACATTGAGAAGAGCAAAACCATTCGCACGCAGCAGCATCTCTGACGAACTCGTTCCCCGGTAGGGTTCATCTTGTGCCGGCGGCAACGTAAGTGGCTACGTGTAAGGGTTGAGCTCGTGTTTACGGTCGTTGCGACATTTTTGCGAAACGGTTTAAATTTTGAGCTCCGCCAGGGAACGAGTTCTTTCAAATTGGTGTTACTCCCGCCGGGGAACAACCCGAACAACCGGGGAACGAGTCGTTCAACCGGGGAACGAGTCGCTCCCGTGGGGCCTCTTGGACCGTCTTGGGGCCATATTGGGCGTCTTTGAGCGATCCGCAGGCGTCTCGAAGCCCTCTCGGGCCATCTAGGGGTCTGTGGAGGCCCGTCTTGGGGCCCTCTTCGGCCCCTAAGTAACGCGGTCAGATGCGGGAAGCCCCCGACGAGTCGCGGCAAGCCCCGGGAAATTTGGCAGTTTGAGTTCCAGGCAGCCCTCAGGGTTGAGGACCGCGTCACCATTGATTATGCAAAGGGCCTGAGGACACGCCCACTCCATATCCAGAGGCACGGTGGCGGATATACATATACATATATAGATATATATAAATAAATATGTGTATGTATATATATGGAGAGAGGGAGAGAGAGAGAGAGAGAGAGACATAAGCAGAGAGAGAGAGAGAGAAACACACAGCAACATCAAGAGACAGAAAGAGAGAGAAAGGGAGGCAGATGGAAGCAAGGAGGAGAGCAAGTGATTGCGGAAGAGAGGGAGTGGAGGAGAAGAGGGAGGGAGGGAAAGGAGGGGGAGGAGGAGGAGTGAAAGGAGTTTCAGGATGAGGAAATGGAACATCAGGAGGAGGTAGGAGTGTCAGGAGGGGGGCAGCAGGATCACAAGGAGAAGACGTGGGACAGAGAGGAGAGGGAGACTGCGCGGGAGAAGGAGGAGGCGGGCGAGGTCGAGGAGTGTGGAGGCTGTCTGATGTGGTTGCCCGAAGTTTGAGATTGCCCCAGCTGGGCGTGCTGTTGTGTGTGTGTGGGGGGGGCATCAGCGCACCCGTCGAACACATGAGCTCTCGGCTCAACCAGCGGTCGCTGCCGCCGGCATCAGGGTGCTCCCCGGCATCGTGCAGGCTTGCTCGGCTCACGGCGGTGGGCGGGGGGGCTTTGGCAGAGGGGCGCGGTGGCAGGCGCGGCTCTGGCACGCGCGCGTGTGTGCGCACACAGTCGGGGCGCTGACGAAGGAACCCGTTTCGTGTGGGAGGGGCTCAGTGTTCCTTATTTGTTTTGCAGTTGGTTTTTGGTTTTCCTTAGGTTTCCGATGGAACATCGAATTGTAACTTAGGGAAACAGGGGCCTCGTTCCTTATTTAGGGTTCCTTAGGGCAACGCTCCGACGGTATCGGGAAACATATAATAACAGAGGCATGCATTTTTGAACGTCCGCGCGGGTATCTTGGATCGGCGCTGGAGGCGTTGCCAGGAGGCTCCGGCGCCGACCCGAAGAATCCGTGCGGGCCTCCGGAAGTTTACAGTAGGCTCATGTGAAGTGTTGCTCCCCCCAGCATGCGCAGCGCGGGCGCACATCTGCTCCCAGCGCCAGTCGGTCCTCAAACGCCCCTTCCCCAGGGAGGCGGAGAGAGAGAGAGGAGGAAGGAAGGAAGTAGTTTCACATATGTGCACTGTTATGAAGTTACAGTGTACATCATTCAAGCTAGTCAGCCGCGCGCTTACGCGGCGGCTCCAAAGATGCGCGAGAACAGCGATGACCTACGGCGGCCCTAGTCGGGTGGGCCAAGCGGCAGGGACGCAGACTGTTCTTTGGCGAGCCCTCAATGCGGCTTCTACGCTCGCATGATCTGCGCATCGAGCATGTCCATCTGCAAGTACATCAACGTCCGCATCATGGGACGATGGTTCGCATTGCTGGCGCACGGCTGCCAGACACCCAGCATCACAATGACAAGCATGCAAACGACAGGGAAACATCAGTGTCCCCTGCATGTGTGACAGTAGCCCGTAGGTGACCAGTCAAAAGCTGTCCATTCCCCGTTCAAACACCGTTCGCACGGCGTGCGGCGTTGCCACTCAGATTCAGCAAAACATGAAGAAGGAGGAAGGGGATCAGGGTGGAGGATGATGAAGAGGGAGGTAGGAGGAGGATGGGGGGCAAGAGCAGGAACAGGATGAGGATGGAGAGGGAAGGGGGGGTGACACGGCGAGAAAGCAAATTTCACAAAAGTTCTGCAGGTTGTGAGAGAGCTTCTGCCTCTCAAAGATAGCCTTGGGGTGCTGCATGGCCACTTGGAGCTGTTTTGGGGTGGTCATGTGACACTGTTGCATGATATCCTGGACCAACCTGCGGAGTCTTGGAGGCCACCTTGAGCAATCTGAAGCCATATTGACGCAACAGCCTCCCACGTAAGTCCCAATGACGCCAACACAATGAAACATCAAAAGCCGTGTTCCATGCTTTGGACTTTGGGCGAAGGGGGCTTCGCCGACTAGGGCCACCCCTCGAGAGCCCGAAAGGTGGCACCTCAGGACGCTCTTGGGCGCTCTTGGGGTCGTCCTGGAGACCTGATGGGCCTCTCTTGGAGCTCTCTTGGGGCTATCCTGAGGCCCTGGGAGGCACCTCGGAAGCGAAATGGCGAGAAGGCAGCAGTCATGGGTTCCATCAGGTCTGGGAGACATCTTGGCCGCCCCAGGACCTTCGAGTCTCAATCATAGTGGAGGGCGTGTCCAACGAGGTTCCCAACTATCTATCGATATATATATATATATATGTATATATATACAGCATTGGACTGCACGTGTGAGTCCTTCCAGATCAGGAATCCCAGGCCTGTGGCCCGAGATCTCCCGCATGGTTTCACGACTTATGTGTCCCGTGTGGTCCTTTGTATGGTCTCTTGCAGGGTCTCATGTATCCTCTTCCTTTTCGTGCTCTCCAGGGTGCTCTCTCTATACTGGTCTTCTATTTCTAGGGCGATGCCTCTTGTGATATCTGCAGCTCCCTGGGGCACCCCCCACGGGGCCCAGAGGGCCCCCAGGAGCTCCACCATGGAGAGAAGGCTGGGGGCACCGTGGCCCAAGGGCACCTGTAGCAAGCCCCGGAAAAGTTATGGCCATCGGGCCCCGCCTGCAAGGTTCGTCAGGAGGGAAAGAAGCACACAGACACAATGAATCGTCGACTCCCCAGAGCATATGGAAACAGATGGGAAGTGGGGGGAAGATACAAACCACGAAAAAATGTGGACATATGGGGAATCCTGTTATTTGTATGTGTTGTTTGTGCTTTGCATCGCTCGGACGTGCATTTTTCCTTCGGCGATCACCATCGAGGAGCATCCTTGACCATCTCGCGAAAAAACACGCACTTAACCGGAAGAAGCACAGGGAATTGACGTCCAAGCGATGGCCAGTGTGTGTCCCAGGGCCCCTTCAGTTAGGGCCATCGGCCACTACTCCGGGCGCAGCCCTTCGGGGTGCCGCCCGCCGCCCCGCGGCGCCGGCCCGCGGACGCGCCCGGGCAGGAAGAATGGCACTTCGCTGGAGTGGCTCCTGGTCGGCGGCGAGCGAGGAAGGAGGAGAAGGGGGGAGAAGGAGGAGCAGGAGGAGGAGGAGGAGGAGGACGAGGAGGAGGAGGACGAGGAGGAGGAGGAGGAGGGGGAGGAGGAGGACGGGCCCTCTCAAAAGGCGGCGGGGCTTCTCAGGAGCCCTCGCGCCTTCTGAGAAGTCGTCTGTGCCTCCAGGAGGGGCTCAGAAAACACTTCTTAGAAGGCCGCAAGACTTCCGAGCCTTCTGAGAGGGCCTTCTCCCTCTCACTTTTCCCCCCCCCAGCTGGCCGCCGAGACCCTGAGTGCGGGCCCAGAGGGACTGCCCCAGCACTGGCGTGAAGCCGCCTGCGCGCTTGGATTTGGCCCCCCCCCGAAAGTCGCGCACCAAAGGTCACTCCTGCCTGGGGTTGCTCCTGCGTGGAGCCGATGGTTGGTGCTCGCCACGGGGTGGACCTGACCCGAGGGGCCCCCACCTCTGCAACACGCAGTCCAAATACGCAGCCCCCCCTCAGCCCCATGCAGAGGGGGGTAGGGGGAGGGTGGAAGGCTTCTTCGAAACACCCTTGCTTCTCAGAAGGCGCGGTCCTTCGCCTTCTACAGATGCTGAGCCAGCGCCCTCTAAGCAGCAGCCTCCCGCTACGAAGCCTCCCCGAGCGCCGCGCAAGGCGATGGCGGCCACGGGCGGCCCTCCGCCAGCATGTCGCGGCTCCTCCGCACCTTCCTCGCCGGAGAGCGAGCGGCCCATGCGCGCCCGGGCGACGTCCGAGGGGGTCGGGAGCAGCGCCAGACTATCGGGGCCCCGCATCGGCAGGGCCTCGGGGGCGGCCAGGGGCAGCTCCTGGTTCGTGCCTCGGGGGCCCAAGCTCGCGTTGTTCTGGGCCGGAGCTCTCCTGGATATTTCGGGCGCCCCACGCTTCCCGCATCATCGAGGCCGGGGTGCGGTCTTGGGTAACTCGTCGTTCGTGCGTCGGGGTCCCAGACCAGAGTTACCCCAGACTAGAGTTGTCTTGGATACGTCGGGCGTTCAAGTCTAGGTTTCCCAGATGGGGTCGGAGGATCGCCGATGCATCGCCAATGCATCGGCGATGCATCGAGGATGCGGCGCGATCCTTCTGCCCCATCTACTCGGACCCCGTTCGGGAGGCCGCCCAGATCTCGGACGATACGTGCTTTATTTCTCAGCCCGGGCGTGCTTCTTCCTCGTTGGCGTGTAGGGCCCGTCCTCGGGCCCCGGCGCCGTCAAAAATGCCCTCGGAGAAGGGGCCGCGCTTTCAAAGGTCATTTCTTTGGATCTGGGGGGATAGGCAGGGCGATGCCTCGACCCTTGACCCCCAATCGCCCGGTCAAGGGGCCTTGTCGCCCACCCCGCCCAGGAGCGTGCCTTTGCGCAATCGGTGGACGATCGCGAATCCATTGGCGATGTATCGCCGTTTCCATGGCGATCTTCCCCCCCCCCCTGAGCTGAGCCACGTTGCCCCTCGGCGTGGCTGGGAGGGGGGCATGGACGGTGCACGTGCAGCAGGGATCGCCACGATGGGGCATTCCAGAGAGGATCTCGCGTTCGACGGGTCGAGAGGCTGCCGTCCCTTCCGCAGCGGAGGGCCAGCGGAAGTAAAGAGGGGGCGGCTCCGTTGGCGGGAGGGCGGCGGGAGGTCGGCGGAAGGCGTTCAGTGGTACGTCAGCCTTGGTGGATTCATGATTTCTGGAATGGGCCATGAAGAAGACGGCTCATGGGAACGGAGTCTGGAGGGTTTCTGCGTGTTCTACCCTCTGGGGTCTTCTCCCACCTGAGCGTCAGGGCCGTCACAAAGCGTTCTGGGTTGACCAGGTGGTGCTGGGTAGAACTCGTAGCCTTCATGCCAAAGAGAGGAGTAAGGGTAGAGAGGAGTTGTAGGATGATGGTCTCTGGGAGGGCCCTTCGCAGGAGGGTCACGGGCAGGAAGAGAGGGGCCATGAAAGGAGAATGAAGAAGAATAGGAGGAGGGAGAACGAGAAGCGGTTTGAGGAGGAAGAGGAGGACCGAAAGGGGCAGCAAGAGGGTCAGGGGCAGAGGGCTAGCATGAAGAGGAGGAGGAAGAGGGCATTGCTTGAAGTCCAGTAGTGGCACCAAGGAGAGGTGTGGCCAGGGGCGTGTAGAGATGTGAGGTGGGAGTTGGGGGAGGCGTCTGGGGCTGTCGAAGGACGGTGGCGAGACGATCGATATGATCAAGAGGCGATCGAGGCAGGATCGAGGATGGACGAGGGAGGATCCAGGGTTAATACATGAGGATCGATGATGCTCGATGGTCTAGGGAGCGTCGAGGAGGTCAGAAGGGGATCGAGGTGATCAGGATCCAGGGATCATCGGTGCACGAGGAGGATCGCGGGTAGAGGGGACACCGAGGGTCCGAGGGGATCCAGGGAGGACCGATGCTCCAGGGACTGCCTCGTCGGCCCGCGCCTCGCCGAGAGCCTCGCTGGGGGCACCTCCGCCGTCCGCCTCCAGGTCGAGGTGGTGTGAACCATCCGCCTCGGGGCACGACGAGGGAGAAGAAGGAGGAGGGGGAGGAGGGGGGCAGGAGGGGGGGACGAGGAGGAGGAGGAGGAGGACGAGGAAGCATCCGCCTCGGGGGGACAGACCTCCCACCCCGACACGTCGATCAGCGACTCGGCCGTTTTCGGCTCGCGAGGGGGCGTCGCGGCCGTCCTTCTTGCGGGTCCGGGTCCTTCGGTTTCGGTCCCAGGCCGTTTTCACGAAAGGGTGGTCTACTGAAGGGGAGGCGTGTCCATTGCCGAAGCATGCGGAGGGGAGGTTTCTTGTGCGCTTGGCCTTCAGAGGCCGACACGGGGCTTTGGACGGTGGAGCGTCGGCCCGCGAAGGTGTCGACAGCTTCCGGGGCCCGCGCCGGGGATAAACCACCACGCCAGAGGTCTGGCAAGCCGAAGACTGAGCTGCCAGGCCCTGCCTGAGATGCAGAAGCGTCCAGATCTCAAATCGCCCTCCTCCTCCTCCGGCTCCTGCTCTTCCCCCGCCATTTCCTCCTCCTCCTCCCCCTCCTCCTATTCCTTCTCTTCCTCCTTCCTCCTCTTCCCCGAATGCATGATCGTCGCCATTCAATTACTCTATGCCAACCTCAAGTATTTCGTGTGCATCAGAGGCTCCCAGAGGCACTCTTTCCATGCGTTGCCCTCTCTTTGGCGTGTTGTTCGCGATCTCCCTCGACCCGCTTCTCAGGCACCTCGGCACCATTCCTGCGACTCTCCCCTTCCAGATTTGGCGGACATCTCTGGAGCCTCAAGCCGGCTGTGAAAGCCATTTGCGAGTTCGGTTACCCTTCAGGCCTAATCTTTACCCTCTGAGCTCCTGGCAACCGCTCCCCGTAAATTCCGCGAACAAGGCATCCACGTTTCCAGGTTTAAGATCCAGACGAACGGCAATACTTGGGGCACATCATTGGACAAGACGGGCCGAGCCTGTCGTGGCTCCCTGAGGCGAATCAACTAAGAGAGCGTGGTAATTGCATCAGGCTTCTAGGGCAGGAGCTCACGGCTAGCCTGATTGCGCACATCAGGTATGTTCTAGTCAAGGGTATCGTCCTGACAAAGTCGTCCTTCGTGCCGAAAGGGAGAGCCATCAACTGTACACGTGTGCACCACGGCACGCCTTCCCCCCGAAGTTTGTTTGCCGCCTCCGAGCTCTGGGTCTTGGCGCCCAGACGGGGACTTGCGGACCAGCGCGAGAGTTGCCAAGTTTAGAGTTGCGGTTCATTCGAAGTTTTTCCCCAAGTTAGTGAGCAAGCTCCTGGCCACCCTCGAGGGCATCGATTGTGAAATCGATTGTGATATCGATAGTGAGATCGATAGTGGGACCGAATGTGATATCGATTCTGGGATCGCTAGTGAAATCGATTGTGAGATCGATAGTCGGATCGATTGTGAGATCGATAGTCAGATCGATTGTGAGATCGATCGAATGAGATCGATAGTGAGATCGATAGTGAGATCGATAGGGAGACTGCATGTGAGATCGATTGTTGTATATGTTTACCATATCTGCTTTCTGGGTCGCAGCGTTCAAGACGGCCTGATGGGCCCCCGATATCGCCCCAAGACGGCCCAAGATGCCCCCCAGAGGGTTTGAAGACGGCCCAGGAGGGCTCCAAGACTGCCCCAGAGAGCCCCGAGATTGCCCACAAGAAGCCCAAGATGCCCGCAGAAGGCTTCCAAGAGAGACCCACGAGAGCCATGGGAGACCACCAAAAAGGCAATTTGACCCAAGAGGGCCCCAGATGGCTTCAGAAGACCTCTGGAGAGCCCCAGCTCCCCAAGACGGCCCACGAAGGCCACAGGACGGCCCAAGAGGGCCAGGACGTCCCAAAAGAATACCAACAACGCCCAGACGGCGTTCTCCTACAAAGTACATCGAGCGGACCCGACGATTCTGGTGTTACGCTTGAGGCTCGATGTCTAAGTTCTTCGATTGAGAGAGACAGGCAGTGGATCTGTGTTCGAAGCTCGACGGTCGAAGATTTATTGAGTGCTTGGAGCACCCCAGGCATTCAGGAAGTTCAGGAAGCGACCAAACATCTATGTGTTCCAAGCTACTGCGACTTCTTCGGCGTGTCATGGGAACGCTCCTTACTTCCTTAAAGGACCTTCGCGCGCGAAAACGGACATCATTCCTTCCTCATTCCTACGCGCAAGCGTGCAAGCGCATCGGGCGAACGCGGTGCCAGCAGGCACCAGGGATATCAGAGACATGAGCCATTCGCCCGTCCAGGCCTCGATGCCCCCCCCCCTGCTGAAGCAAGCGCTGATTGATGGTTTTGCCGGGGAGTGCCCGGAAGAAAGCGCATGGCGCGAAGCGCAAATGCACTCTTGTTTATCTAAACATATATACAAATATGGAGATCTACAGCTGTATACACCCATACCGAAGTTCATATGTGTTTCTACATGCATCCATATATACATACCGACACACACGCATATCTACATGCATACTTGCATGAATTCATACATGCATCACAACACCCATACATCCGAACGTCCAAACATCCATATATGTGTACATCATTACGTCATGGCACCCATACATCAATACATTCATACATCCATATGTTCATACATTCAGTCATACATACACCCACCCATGCATCCGTTCATCCATACGTACATACACTCGTACACGCAATCATCCCTACACCCATACATGCTTACATTCATGCAAACATACATACGCACGCACGCACATACATACGCATCCAGTAATGAGTGCTGTGTTTCTCTTCCCCCACTTGATTTATCAGGTCGGCGTGCGCTTCGAGGCGTTCCTCGCCAGGGGCCTCACGGCGGTCGACGGAAAGGGAGTTTCCAGGACGTTTTTTTCCCCCCCGAGCTTGATGCCAGGGCGCGGCAGGGTGCCGGTATATAGTCGACGTTTGGGGTTAAGGTCCATTTTGGTTCGGGAAAGGGGTTCGGCCTTCTTTATCCAAGGTCTCTCATGGTAAACGTTCTGGCTGCACGCAGCAGCAGCAGCATTTGAAGTCGAGGACGCGTGTGCCCAGCAATCGCGTCGCAGTCCCACTTGGGGCAGAGGGGATGCGGAGGGGTCGAGGGGGAGAAGCTTCGGTACGTCGGCACCCAGGTTCATGAGGATCAGGCATAAGGCGTCCCCGTGGCATGTCCGTACCTCGAAGTAGCGTGGGCCGTCGCACGCTCTCTTGCCCAATCTCCCCTTTCATAATGCTATGCCCCGCTCCTCCCCCCCCCTATTGGCATCGCTCGGACGTGTGCATTTTTTCTTCGGCGAGGACCATCGAGGAGCATCCTTGATCAGTTGGCGAAAAGCCACGCACGAAACCGAAAAAAAACAGGGAATGGACGTCCGAGCGATGGCCAGCCCTCCCCCCCGCCGCGCGTTCCCTCGCACCTCTCGGGCGCAAGCACGCACCACAGCTTCCGAGCGGGGCGCTCACCCCCCCGTGCGCCACGGCAGTGCCAGCTGGGAGTCGGCCAGCCGCGTCGTGGGGCAGACGCCCTATCGTGCATTGCGACAGCCGCCGCCCCTGGAAGCCGCAGACACAGCATCGCACGGCCAGCACTCGCAGACCCAGACATCAGGCGACATGAGTTTTTCAATGTGCCACCCTTCCGCCGGGGGTGCTGTTTCGCCCTGGATCCGTTTTTGATGGCTCCGGGGGCCCGACAATGGGCCCCAGAGTCCGAAATTGAGGAACAAAAATGCGAGACCGAATACGTCACATCGTTGGAGACTTGGGCTGAACAGTCAGCGCCTGACGGGCCGGACTATTGGGCCGTGACCCCTTGGATACGGAGCGTGTTTTCGCGGATGCCCCGCGCGGAACGTATCCATGCGACCGCGTATCCATGGGATCGCGACCCAGGGCCCAGACCGCGTTACCGAAGTCCACCCTTGGCAAGGTCGGGTTGCGCACAGGCAGGCCCCCCAGGCAGTCCCTGCTGGCCTCAGCAGGTCTCCCGAGAAGCCGGGGGCGGCCTCACAAGCCCAACCCTGTGGCGCGGAGCGCCCCAGGGTCGCCGCCGGAGGCGGCGCCAGGGTGTTGGGACCGCCCCGGACTTCTCGGGAGACCTGCGGGCACTGTCTGTGCGCAACCCGAGGCCTTGCCAAATCTTTCCAAACCGGACCCCTCCCAGGGTACACCTTGACCCGTTTGTCGAGGCGGATCCAACTGCTGCGACGGGAAGCCTCCAGGAGGCAGGAAGAGGGGGCGAGAAACGCCTGAGAGGGCCGCCGTTGTTTTTCAGAGAAAGGCAATCCCCCCCCATCCAAGGAGATTGTTTTGTTTATTCTCTGGCGCGTAACGGTCGTTACCCCCCCCCACCCCCCAGGTGACGGTATGGATCGTGCGTAGGGGCTCGGGTGGGGGGCCTGAGGCTTCTCTCCACATGGTGGTGCTCGCGCGCATATTGCAGCGATCGTGTGCTCAGCCCAGGAAGCGGGAGCGCGAACCCCAGAGCAAGAAAGCGCGACCCGTGGAAACCGAACCCAGGAACCGCGGGACGCGCGGAACCCGGGAAATGCAGAGTGCGCGAGGCGTAGAAGAAGAGGGCGAGGAGGTGGAGGAGGTGGGGAATGAGCTGAAGGGATAGGCGGAAGGCCCAGATGGACGCATTGGACGAAGAAGATGAGGAGTAGGAAGTGGAGATGGAGCAGCAGCTGAGCTAGAGGAGGTGCTACTTCAGGAGCCGGACCGGGGGCTAGGTGTCGTTCCCTGTTCGTCGTCGTGGTCGTTCGACTTCATTCATATTTGGAGGTCCGAGAAGGCCATTCTTGGATTTGGAGTTCTGGGCGTGTTCCTGGGCCATGGGGCCCAAACATCGATCCAGATTGAAAAACATTGTCGGAGGGACTTGGGGAATCGTACTGCATGGATTTTGCCGTCGTCGTCGTACCTGGAGGTTCACGTCTGGGCTCCAACCGAATAAAGCACACACACACACGGTGGGACAAAAATCACACACTGTGGGAACACAACGCACACCCTGTGGGACAAAACACACACACACACATCTGTTGGCATAAAACACACACTGTGGGAAAAACGCACACAACAACACAACAACACACAACAACACACAACAACACACAACAACACGCACACACACACACACAGGTACACAGACAAAGACACACAGACACACAGGCACACACAGACAAACACACACAGACACACACACACAGACACACACACAGACACGACACACACAGACACACAGACACACAGACACAGACACAGACACAGACACAGACACATCCGTAGCCATCTTGGCTCAAGGCCATGGAGCACCCGACGACCGCGAGTCGTCCGCGGCGCTCTGAGCGCGAGGGGCTCTTCGCTTTGGGCCAGCTCACAAGTGATTGTTCTTCGTGCCGACAGCACGGGCCGCGAGGCCGCAGTTTTGGGCCGCGAGGCCATACGTCGGGGTCAGCCTTGCCATGGTGGCCTACGGGCAAGCTGCTGGAGGCCGCTCCTGGGCCAGCGTCGCGACGGGCGGCAAGGCCAAGGGCAACTGGAGCTACTGGGTCTGCTCCAGCGGCATGTGCAGGGAGTGGAACTGGTGCTCGCTCTGGAAGTGCCGCGGCTGTGACCGAGTGACCCCGCCGTGGGTCAAGGCAGCCCAGCCGCCCGCGGCTGCCGCCGGCCAGGAGTCGCCAGTCGCCGACGCCGAGGGCTTCGTCGTCCAGCCCCGTGGGAGGAAGGCGAGGCGCCAGGCCAAGCGCACTGCTGCCCGTGCGGCAAGCGCTGGGGCCGCCAGTCAGGCAGGCGTCAGCGAGGCCAGCAGCGTGCAGCAGTCGGCCGTCGAGCAGCACCGCATGGAGGTCAAGCGCATCGAGGACTTCCTCGCGGCCCCTGGGGGATCCATCGACGAAGGGTGCTTGCAGTCGCTGCGCGCGGCCCTCGACCGCGAGCGGCGCAGGCTCTCGGCAGCCGAGGCGGCGCACGCGGAGCGCAGGAAGGCCGACACCCCCTGCCCAAGGCGCTCCACGGTGCTGGCAACGCCCTGGGGAAGCTGGTCAGGCAGGGGCGGGCCAGGGAGCAGGCGCTGCTCAAGGCTGAGGAGGCCCACGCGGCAGCCATCGGAGAGCGCGAGGCGGCCATCGCGCGCGAGGCCGCTTGCGCTGAGGCGGTCGAGGAGTGCCGAGCTGCTCGTCGAGGCTCACCGCGAGGAGCAGAAGGCCGCCGAGGCCAGGCAGGCCAAGGAGGTCGGCGCGGCCTTCGTCGGCACGGACTTGCTCGGGATGGTCTTCGGCCTCATCCAGCAGGTCGAGGCCTTGCCCCAGGGCTTCGCCGCGGACAACGGGGAGGCCGCATTCGCGGAGGTCGCCAAGCAGATTGCAGCGGTCCGCGGGCATGCACCCCCCGAGGCCAGGGGACGCTCATCCTGGGCCGACACCCCCCTCGACGTCTCGGACGAGGACCTCGACGGAGATGAGGAGGAGCGGGTGCGGGCGTCGTCGGCCCCCCCTCTGCAGGACGCGGCCGAGCGCGGCCAAGCTGCGCGCCGAGGAGAGGCGCACGGAGCGTGGCCCTCAGCCCAGCCGCTGGCTAGGGACCTGGCCAACGCTGGGGCAGCCCTCCTCGACGACCAGCCGCTGGCTACTGCTGCTGGTGGCCATGCTGCTGTGGGCCGAAATCGGGTTTGACGTCGACTCGGCAGGCCATTGCTCGGCTGACAGCAGGAGGGTCAGACGGCGCCTGAGTGAGCAGATGCCAGTGGTGTGGGGAGCCCAACGCCAGGGCCTGGGCGAACCTGCGTGTGTGGCACCTGGCCAAGGGGGAGCGATGAGGGCCGCCGACGGGCGGGTGGTCGATGCCCCTCCCCCCCCCGCGCCCCCCGTCGAGGCCGCTGACGAGCGGGCGGCCGAGACCCTCGACAGGCGCAGCGAGGCCAAGGTGCCAAGTGACCAGATGATGCGGATGACGGCGCAGGAGGCCGGCATTGGCAAGGCTCGCCTAGGGCCGCAGCCCGCCCCTGAGTCTGACCCTCGAGGACCTTGCCCCCTGCGCGCTGGCCTGGAGGTCCTGGGCTGCAGCGGTAACGTCTGGAACAGGAGCATCGAGGTCCTCGGGGCCTTCTTCCACGCCCACCAGTACTGGCCGCAGCTGGTCCTCCTTCAGGAGACGAGGCTAAGCCAGGAACGGCTCCCTGGGGCCAGGGCGATGGCACGCCGCCTCGGCTACGCCGCCTTCTTCCATGAGGCGGTGGCCACGGGCCAGCCTGGCCCGAACGCCACGTCGGGCGGCGTCGCGATCCTGGTGAGGGATGAGCTCCAGGCCGAGGAGTCTGCATGCCAGCTCCCTGCGGCCCTGCGCCACCGCCTAATCGGCGTTGAGGTGACGGCGCCGTCGGGCCTTCGCCTCCTGGCCTTGGCTGGGTACTTCCAGCACTCCCTGGGCCCGCGAGGGATCAACCTCGACCTGTTCTCCGCGGTCTCGGACCTCGCGGCATTCTCGCTCGACTTGCCCTGGGTCCTCCAGGCGGATTTCAACATGGAGCCCGAGTCCCTGGAGGAGTTGGGCTGGTGCCCGGACCCTCTGAAGCGACTTGCGTCGCCCAGGGCTTGGAGCACGTCTACGACTGGTTCGTCGCGTCGTCCGACCTGGCCACGTGCACGGTGTCTTGCGCGACCACGCTCAACGATTTCGGGCTGCGCCCGCACTCTCCCGTGCTGCTGCGCCTCCAGGACGTCAGGTGCGATGCCCTGGTTGAGGTGCCCTCCCGTCCTGCTCGGTTTCCAGAGGTGGAGGTCAAAGGCGCGCGCTCCCGCGAGGACGCCTTGGCCCAGGTCTTCACTGTCGGCAAGCGCGGGAAGGTGTCGCAGAAGGACGT